ACCTCTATTGAAAATAGAAAACACATATTGAAACAAAAAAATTGTCTAAAACCTCAAACATTTTGAAACTGAGGGAGTACCATTAAAAAATGTGTGGGTTTTAAGATTAAAATTTCGTACATTGAATTCGGACAAAAATAGTTATGTAATTGTTGTCAACTCTCTTACTGAAATCGAGACCCAATTCAGCATTAGTCGATAAAGAGACCTCAAGAACGCTTTTCATGTACCCATGCTTTGTATTTACATATAAGAACCCATCATGATACATCCACACACAAGCCTTATCCTTGATCCCACTGGCCACTGTCTACCCAATTCCACCTCCCTTTGACCAAAAAGAGTCGATTGGTAAAGTAGTAAAAGGTTCACTGGCTTTAGTTTTGATCGTGTTTTTAAGGTTTGCAAAGTACCAGAAAACTTTTTAATTGGCTCATGTATTCCTTTTTTTTCAATGATGTGAACAAAACAAATTGTTGATGTGTTTTATCAAAATGTTCTAATTGTTTTAGAAAAACGAATTTCTGTATGTAAACCCCACAAAATTAATATTTTGAGGGGTTATGGTCACCTACGAGCGCAAATAAAAAAGTTCGGTCAAATTGATAAATAGAGAGAAAGAGCCACAAATAAGAAAAACGTTAATAAGATTTTCTAGGAATTGTGGTACCTTTCTGTTCTTGTTGGTTTTGGACACTTGACCTAGGGAAAGAATCAGAAGTTGATGCGGCCACTGAAAGAGAGGATAAAAACTTTTTAATTCTTGAGATGGCCGATTTTTAACTCATCAAATTCAATAAAATTCTGGATATCAAGTACCAAACTGCATCCATCTCAAAGAGTTTTTCCCATTCCACATCTTTGAACCAAGGATAAGCCTAGACATGTCTTGTCTTGTCAAAAAAAAACAATAAAGAGATGTACCACAAAGAGAAGTGTTTGTTATTATATTCACAACTTTTATTTGCTCGGCTCCGGTTCCATGAGAACCAAGCCTATAGAATCACAAAGAAAGCTACAAATGAGATCTCTTGTCTCATGTGTCAACCTTGCGTCCTTGGTGAATACCAAATGAGTTCTCTAGCTCACAATCTAAAAATCCATCGAGCAAAATACAATGGGATAAATGCACGTAATGTCAATTTACCTCGGAGAGAATATAGGTGTGAAGATTCTAACAGTATTATAACACTTCCTCCATCTATAACTACTATCTCAACATCAATATTATAAATGAAATAAAGAATAAAGTGAAAACTATTGTTATTTGGTAGCAAAGAGACATTTCTTCCATAGTAACAATGACAATAACTTTAATTTAATGTAATCTCAAATTTGATATAACAAGCTAGAACTAGCCTTAGATCCTATCAATATCCTCGTCCTCAAACTCAATGTAATAATCTCCCGCTTTATCGCTATCTTCATCAAAATCACCAACGATTCCTTCATGAAGGCGGATATTATCCGGAAGCTCCTCATACGCCTTGAGAAACCTTGCCTCATCAGACAAGTACTTGAGGATGACATCAGCTTTGTTATCTTGGTAATCCCTTAGACCAACAAGTATGATGTCACCGGCTGCAATCCAAACTTTCTTATGCATCTTACCACGAATATGGCAAAGACGTTCAACGCCATCAATGCACATAGCTTGACATCGACCATTACCAAGCATACGAAGAACTTGTGCATACTCTTGACCATCTTCTTTAAAGATAAGCTCACG